GCCTCCCATTGCATCTGTCTCCATCGCCACACTCTGTCATGTGCCACTTTCAGGTCTCCTCACACACTGCTGGTGTGTTGAATTTTTTGACATAGGGTGCTGGCAGATTACGGGCCTCCTATAGCTGCTGCCAGGCCCCTAATCTGCCATGGGCCCCTATATACCGCCTCCTCATGCTGCTGCCAGTTCCAGAGTCTCTCATGGGTCCCTGTACGGCCTCCCATTGCATCTGTCTCCATCGCCACACTCTGTCATGTGCCACTTTCAGGTCTCCTCACACACTGCTGGTGTGTTGAATTTTTTGACATAGGGTGCTGGCAGATTACGGGCCTCCCATAGCTGCTGCCAGGCCCCTAATCTGCCATGGGCCCCTATATACCGCCTCCTCATGCTGCTGCCATGTCCAGAGTCTCTCATGGGTCCCTGTACGGCCTCCCATTGCATCTGTCTCCATCGCCACACTCTGTCATGTGCCACTTTCAGGTCTCCTCACACACTGCTGGTGTGTTGAATTTTTTGACATAGGGTGCTGGCAGATTACGGGCCTCCCATAGCTGCTGCCAGGCCCCTAATCTGCCATAGGCCCCTATATACTACTGCCTCCTCATGCTGCTGCCATGTCCAGAGTCTCTCATGGGTCCCTGTACGGCCTCCCATTGCTGCTGTCTCCATCGCCACACTCTGCCATGTGCCACTTTCAGGTCTCCTCACACACTGCTGGTGTGTAGAATTTTTTGACATAGGGTGCTGGCAGATTACGGGCCTCCTATAGCTGCTGCCAGGCCCCTAATCTGCCATAGGCCCCTATATACCGCCTCCTCATGCTGCTGCTAGGTCCAGAGTCTCTCATGGGTCCCTGTACGGCCTCCCATTGCTGCTGTCTCCATCGCCACACTCTGCCATGTGCCACTTTCAGGTCTCCTCACACTGCTGGTGTGTTACATTTTTTGTCATAGGGTGCTGGCAGATTACGGGCCTCCCATAGCTGCTGCCAGGCCCCTAATCTGCCATGGGCCCCTATACCGCCTCCTCATGCTGCTGCCAAGTCCAGAGTGTGTCATGGGTCCCTGTACGGCCTCCCATTGCTGCTGTCTCCATAGCCACACTCTGCCATGTGCCACTTTCAGGTCTCCTCACACTGCTGGTGTGTTCAATTTTTTGACATAGGGTGCTGGCAGATTACGGGCCTCCCATTGCTGCTGCCAAGCACGTAATCTGCCATGGGCCCCCGTACCGACTCCTCATGCTGTGACGTTGCAACAAGGTGGAATTCAACCCTACATATGTTAGACCGCCTTTACGAACAGCGAAAGGCCATCACAGATTTCCTGATGTTAAAAGCGGATAAAGGTACTCCCTTTGTAACTTAGATGTCAGCCATTGGCAGCTCATGCGTGACACCTGCCGCTTGCTCAGGCCCTTTGAGGAGGCCACGCTATTCGTGAGTCGGCAGGACTATGGGATGAACGACGTCATTCTTCTGTTGCACGTCCTGGAACAAATGCTGTTAACAATGGCTGGTCAGGGTGCGGTAGACGTGGCGCACAGATCTCAACGCCACATGACCCCTGTGGGGGCAGGACAGGAAGAAGAGGAGGAGGTAGAGGAGGACATTGGTGCTCAGGAATTATTGAGTGAAATGGGTGGTTTTTCCACTCAGCGGACAGGAGTGGAGGAGCAGGAGCATCTGGTAGAGGAGGAGGAGGAGGAGACAGAGGACCCAGACGCACCGTGGCAGTATGCTGTGGAGATGGAGGCAGGGAGTCCCTCGCATTCCTTGGCACAAATGGCCCATAGCATGCTCGGTTGCTTGCGTAGCGACAGCCGAATAATAACCATCAGACAGAGGGATGACTTTTGGCTGTCCACCTTGTTGGACCCTCGCTACCGGTCCAAAATGGTGGCCTTTTTCACACCTGCTGAGAGGGAGGCCAAAATTACGTACTATAAAAACCACCTATGTAGTCAGTTGGTCTCTGCCTTTGTGCGCCAACGTCCATCCTCAGACACTGTGGGCCCTGTGCGCTCGCGTTCCGCTGGCATGGCAGCAGGGGAGGGGTGGGGTGGTAGGAGCAGTGGCAGCTCCACCAGCAGCGGCTGCCTCAGTCTGCAGTCGATGATGAGTAGCTTTCTTCACCAGCGCAGTGAGGAAACTACTAACCAGCCGCAGCAGCAGCAGCAGCATCAGGTGGACCTGGAGCAGGAGCTCAAACAACAGGCTTGGGCCTATTTGGACAGCACCCTGCCAACCGAGGTAGACAATCCCCTTGACTACTGGGCAACGAAACTTGACCTTTGGCCCCAAATAGCTGAATTTGCCCTTGAAAGGCTGTCATGCCCGGCCAGTAGCGTGGCATCGGAGCGCGTGTTTAGTGCGGCAGGAGGTATTGCAACTCCGCGGAGGACACGACTGTCCACCCAAAGTGTGGAGAGACTCACGTTTGTGAAAATGAATCAGGCGTGGATTAGTCTGGATTTCAAACCACCAGTTCCTGACACAACTGACTAAATCCGCCATGAATCATGCCCCAAACATGTGCCACTTTCAGGTCTCCTCACACACTGCTTGTGTTTTCAATTTTTTGACATAGGGTGCTGGCAGATTACGGGCCTCCCATAGCTGCTGCCAGGCCCCTAATCTGCCATGGGCCCCTATGTACCGCCTCCTCCTCATGCTGCTGCCAGGTCCAGAGTCTCTCATGCCATGTGCCACTTTCAGGTCTCCTCACACACTGCTGGTGTGTTCAATTTTTTGTCATAGGGTGCTGCCAGATTACGGGCCTCCTATAGCTGCTACCAGGCCCCTAATCTGCCATGGGCCCCTATACCGCCTCCTCATGCTGCTGCCAGGTCCACAGTCTCTCATGGGTCCCTGTACGGCCTCCCATTGCTGCTGTCTCCATCGCCACACTCTGCCATGTGCCACTTTCAGGTCTCCTCACACACTGCTGGTGTGTTCCATTTTTTGTCATAGGGTGCTGGCAGATTACAGGCCTCCCATTGCTGCTGCCAGGCCTGTAATCTGCCATGGGCCCCCGTACCGCCTGGTCACGCTGCTGCTGGGTCCACAGTGTGACATGGGTCCCTGTACCGCCTCCCATTGCTCCCACTCTGCCATGTGCCACTTTCAGGTCTCCTCACACTCCTGCTGGTTTCCATTTTGTCATAGGTTGCTGGCAGATTACAGGTCTCCCATAGGTGCTGCCAGGCCCCAAATCTGCCATGGGCCCCCGTACCGCCTGGTCACGCTGCTGCTGGGTCCACAGTGTGACATGGGTCCTTGTACCGCCTCCCATTGCTCCCAGTCTGCCATGTGCCACTTTCAGGTCTCCTCACACTCCTGCTGGTTTCCATTTTGTCATAGGTTGCTGTATGGCCTCCCATTGCTGCTGCCTCCACCGCCACACTGTGGCTCCAAACACTGGTTTTGGCCCCATGACTGGCCAAATGAGTGAAGTGTGCGGTGATTCTAAGATCGACGGCACTCATCTGCATGTCATACTGAGTGACAGTATTATTTCTCTTCCCCAGCAGACTCCAAGGGCATTTAAATTAAAGGTACAGTGTTCTGCACTAATATTAAGTCTCTCTGAAGCCTAGAAACACCCTTTTTTAAGTTAAATTCACAGCGAATTTATTCGACTCGAATCGAATATTGTCCACGAATTCGCAGAATCAGTCGAATCGAATTTTTCATTTCTTCGCTCATCTCTAATCCTAACGTTCCAGATTTATGCTGGAGATGTTACCAGGCAACAGGTACTCTTCTACATATATGGTGGGAATGCCCGCTGCTGCAGCCCTTCTGGAGAAAAGTTCTGGACATAATCACACAAGTAACTACATACACCCTAGACTTTACCCCAGCACAATGTCTACTCCATCACTTCTCACTTCCTGTGAGGACTTATCGTAAGTCGCTTGCCTTACATATGATAAATGCGGCAAGGCAGTGTATTCCTGTTCATTTGCGATCAGACCATGTTCCCACCGTGCGAGAGTGGATTCTTAGGATCATCAGGATCGCGGAAATGGAGGAGCTGATTTCAGTGGCAAAGGAACACCCCGAGAGATTCAGGAAGACTTGGGCTTGTTGGACTCATTTCCAATCTACTGATACTTATCGTTGTTTAATGAAGGAATGAGCGAGAAGAGATTTGGAGACACGGAAAGCCTCTAGAACTTTCACCTCAGGAATAGCTCCATAAATGGACTCTAACCGAATTGTATCCCTAATTAAAGATAGAATCTGTTACAGCCCGACCGATGCTTATTGATGTGACTGGTTTGTTGTGCCTATTTAATTATAAACCCCATCCCCTTTTCCCCTCCCCTTTATTTTCTTTCCCCTCTTCCCTATATATTTGTCTTCTTTGCTCCCCCCCCACCCCATTATGATATTACTTTTCATATTCTTCCTCCATTCCCGCGCTCTTCTCTTTCTTTTCTTTTCTTTCTCTCTTTTACACCTTTTTCATATTCTAACTAGCTATATTTTTCATAAGGTACAGAGTGTTCATAGATGTACAGGTGTGACAGTAATCCACAAAACTAACCTACACTTTTCGGATACGGAAACATAGGACATATATGCCTTGAGATGACACTTTTGTCTTGCACTTCACAGTCCTGTTATTTGAGATCTCCCTACACAAGGACTAGTGAACACCGTATTTCTCTAAATTACATACTGTTATCATTATTGCTAGAGATGAGCAAAGAAATGAAAAATTCGATTCGACTGATTCGGCAAATTCGTGGACAATATTCGATTCGAGTCGAATAAATTCGCTGTGAATTTAACTTAAAAAAGGGTGTTTCTAGGCTTCAGAGAGACTTAATATTAGTGCAGAACACTGTACCTTTAATTTAAATGCCCTTGGAGTCTGCTGGGGAAGAGAAATAATACTGTCAGTCAGTATGACATGCAGATGAGTGCCGTCGATCTTAGAATCACCGCACACTTCACTCCTTTGGCCAGTCACGGGGCCAAAACCAGTGTTTGGAGCCACAGTGTGGCGGTGGAGCCAGCAGCAATGGGAGGCCATACAGCAACCTATGACAAAATGGAAACCAGCAGGAGCGTGAGGAGACCTGAAAGTGGCACATGGCAGAGTGGGAGCAATGGGAGGCGGTACAGGGACCCAGGTCACACTGTGGGCCCAGCAGCAGCGTGACCAGGCGGTACGGGGGCCCATGGCCGATTTGGGGCTTGGTGGCACCTATGGAAGGCCTGTAATCTGCCAGCAACCTATGACAAAATGGACAACCGCAGGAGTGTGAGGAGATTTCAAAGTGGCACATGGCAGAGTGGAAGCAATGGGAGGCCGTACAGGGACCCAGGTCACACTGTGGGCTCAGCAGCAGCGTGACCAGGAGGTACGGGGGCCCATGGCTGATATGGGGCCTGGCGGCACCTATGGGAGGCCGCTAATCTGCCAGCAACCTATGACAAAATGGAAAAAACCGCAGGAGTGTGAGGAGATTTCAAAGTGGCACATGGCAGAGTGGAAGCAATGGGAGGCCGTACAGAGACCCAGGTCACACTGTGGGACCAGCAGCAGCGTGACCAGGAGGTACGGGGGCCCATGGCCGATATGGGGCCTGGCGGCATCAATAGAAGGCCTGTAATCTGCCAGCAACCTATGACAAAATGGACAACCGCGCAGGAGTGTGAGGAGATTTCAAAGTGGCACATGGCAGAGTGGAAGCAATGGGAGGCCGTACAGGGACCCAGGTCACACTGTGGCTCAGCATCAGCGTGACCAGGAGGTACGGGGGCCCATGGCCGATATGGGGCCTGGCGGCACCTATGGGAGGCCGCTAATCTGCCAGCAACCTATGACAAAATGGACAACCGCAGGAGTGTGAATAGATTTCAAAATGGCACATGGCAGAGTGGAAGCAATGGGAGGCCGTACAGGGACCCAGGTCACACTGTGGGCCCAGCAGCAGCGTGACCAGGCGGTACGGGGGCCCATGGCCGATATGGGGCCTGGCGGCACCTATGGGAGGCCGCTAATCTGCCAGCAACCTATGACAAAATGGAAAACCGCAGGAGTGTAAGGAGACCTCAAAGTGGCACATGGCAGAGTGTAAGCAATGGGAGGCCGTACAGGGACCCAGGTCACACTGTGGGCTCAGCAGCAGCGTGACCAGGGGGTACGGGGGCCCATGGCCGATATGGGGACTGGCGGCACCTATGGAAGGCCGCTAATCTGCCAGCACCCTATGACAAAATGGAACCCTGGGCTGGGGCAGGCAGAACCGCCGTATCTTTATCACGTTTTTTTCCCCCAGGCCACCGAATGGCGACGCTGCATATGCTGACGCAACGCTGTAGTCCCAACATGGGCCCCCTGGCCACGCTTGACTTTCTGGCCACATAGTCGACATACGGCTACGTTTACTTCCTCGGGCGGCTTGACGAAAAATTGCCACACACCGCAGAGTAGGAAACTTTGCCTCCGCTACTCCTCACTGGCTGACTGCTACTTCCTCCGTGCACACGGCACCACTACTGGCCGTGGTGGTAGGCTGCAGTGGAGCTGGTGCTCTACTCCGTGGCCGTTTGCCTCCACTGACACTGCTGCGACCCTGCTGCCTCCTGGCAGCAGAAATGGGAGGCCGTACAGGGACCCATGAGAGACTCTGGACCTGGCAGCAGCATGAAGAGGCGGTATATAGGGGCCCATGGCAGATTAGGGGCCTGGCAGCAGCTATGGGAGGCCCGTAATCTGCCTGCACCCTATGTCAAAAAATTAAACACACCAGCAGTGTGAAGAGACCTGAATGTGGCACATGGCAGCAGAGTGTGGCGATGGAGACAGCAGCAATGGGAGGCCGTACAGGGACCCATGAGAGACTCTGGACTTGGCAGCAGCATGAGGAGGCGGTATATAGGGGCCCATGGCAGATTAGGGGCCTGGCAGCAGCTATGGGAGGCCCGTAATCTGCCAGCACCCTATGTCAAAAAATTCAACACAACAGCAGTGTGAAGAGACCTGAATGTGGCACATGGCAGAGTGTGGCGATGGAGACAGCAGCAAGCAATGGGAGGCCCGTAATCTGCCAGCACCCTATGAGGCCCATCTGCCAAATGGAACACACCAGCAGTGTGTGAGGAGACCTGAAAGTGGCACATGGCAGGGGCATGATTCATGGCGGATTTAGTCAGTTGTGTCAGGAACTGGTGGTTTGAAATCCAGACTAATCCACGCCTGATTCATTTTCACAAACGTGAGTCTCTCCACACTTTGGGGGTGGACAGTCGTGTCCTCCGCGGAGTTACAATACCTCCTGCCGCACTAAACACACGCGCTCCGATGCCACGCTACTGGCCGGGCATGACAGCCTTTCAAGGGCAAATTCAGCTAGTTGGGGCCAAAGGTCAAGTTTCGTTGCCCAGTAGTCAAGGGGATTGTCTACCTCGGTTGGCAGGGTGCTGTCCAAGTAGGCCCAAGCCTGTTGTTTGAGCTCCTGCTCCAGGTCCACCTGATGCTGCTGCTGCTGCTGCTGCGGCTGGTTAGTAGTTTCCTCACTGCGCTGGTGAAGAAAGCTACTCATCATCGACTGCAGACTGAGGCAGCCGCTGCTGGTGGAGCTGCCACTGCTCCTACCACCCCCCCCCCTCCCCTGCTGCCATGCAGCGGAACGCGAGCGCACAGGGCCCACAGTGTCTGAGGATGGACGTTGGCGCACAAAGGCAGAGACCAACTGACTACATAGGTGGTTTTTATAGTACGTAATTTTGGCCTCCCTCTCAGCAGGTGTGAAAAAGGCCACCATTTTGGAACGATAGCGAGGGTCCAACAAGGTGGACAGCCAAAAGTCATCCCTCTGTCTGATGGTTATTATTCGGCTGTCGCTACGCAAGCAACCGAGCATGCTATGGGCCATTTGTGCCAAGGAATGCGAGGGACTCCCTGCCTCCATCTCCACAGCATACTGCCACGGTGCGTCTGGGTCCTCTGTCTCTCCTCCTCCTCCTCCTCTACCAGATGCTCCTGCTCCTCCACTCCTGTCCGCTGAGTGTGAAAAAAAACCACCCATTTCACTCAAATAATTCCTGAGCACAAATGTCCTCCTCTACCTCCTCCTCTTCTTCCTGTCCTGGCCCCCACAGGGGTCATGTGGCGTTGAGATCTGTGCGCCACGTCTACCGCACCCTGACCAGCCATTGTTAACAGCATTTGTTCCAGGACGTGCAACAGAGGAATGACGTCGTTCATCCCATAGTCCTGCCGACTCACGAATAGCGTGGCCTCCTCAAAGGGCCTGAGCAAGCGGCAGGTGTCACGCATGAGCTGCCAATGGCTGACATCTAAGTTACACA